TTGGGCAAGCCATTATTCACAGCCACCATCTGATTTCAAGCAATCAAAGCAGAATTCGGAAAAAAAAAAAGAATTATCAAGAGATCAAGCAAAAGTTATTGTTTGGAGTTGTTGAGATTGTGGTGTTGGATTGGATCAGTAACAACCTAAGGAGGAAGTGATTTCGGGGCTAGGAATCAGTTTCTAAGAACCCAGGAATTTAACACCGTCGCCGGAATAACCAGAACCACCGGAGGAGAGAGAAAGAGGAGAGGAGGAGGAAGAAGAAGAAGAGGAAAAGTCTGGTCCGAGAGGGTGTTTTGCGGGGCGATATGCCGTCGACTCAGGGAGACCCAGAAGACGATCTACATACCGTTGGAAAGATCTCTATGTCAGCTATTCAGATCTTCTTTCCGTTACCGATTCTGAGGTATATTCGATCCGGAAATCCAATCGAAAGTTGACGCGAATTTATTGTCAGTTTTTCAGATTTTAAGTTCCAGTTTAAGTAGTGGTTTTGGGTTGCAATTTCAGATCGTATCTGAGCTAGGAAGGCAGGATTGTTTATTGGATTCTGGTTCAGGACGTTGCAGGGAAGCCATAGGAACCGACGTCACCACCTGAAAAGGTAAACCCTAGCCACCACGCTGTTAGCTTGTTGCCCAAGAAATCATGTGTCTGTCAAAAATCTGGGCAGAGCAGAAATCCTAAATCTGTTTCTAATAGACGTTTCTTGTTCTGCAAGTTACAGTTTTAGATTGTTTATATCAGCTTCAATCAGTGTCTTTCCAGAAGTCAGATATCAGCTTAAGTCAGGTGAGGGTTGTGATCTGTGGAAACACAATTCACATTACTTCTATTATTTACATGAGTCATTATGCATAAGCTTAGACCTGATTGTTAGAATAGGTTGTGTGATGATGTGCCTAGAAAAATAAAATGATGTGATAGGATGATATAAGATAGATTATGTGATATGATATGAGATATGCTATGAGTTATGTTATGATATGCTATGTTATGTATGTATGGTTGACGAGCCTGGAATGGGAGTGTTTGGGCACAAGGCCAGCCTCCAATGTATGGGGTTTTAAGGCTATCACAAGGATAGTGTCGTCTACGGGACGTATAAACCTCCAGTGTATGGAAATCTTGCTTCATTCGCAAGACTCTTGATATGTGTTATAGCTTGATTAGTAAATCCGGCTATATGTTTGCTAGTGTCTAGGATTATGTGTTTTGATGAGTGTCAATATTCGTAGAAATGTTAGTTATGTTTCGGTGGGCAGAGATGATCTCCCTCATTGAGTAATGCATTGCTCACCCTTTTCTTTTCCTTTTTTTTCTAGGTCAGGATGAAAATCTAGAGTAGCTGCTCAAGTCTGTTTTGCTTCTTGATGTTATTTCGGGAACCGGGTTTTATTTCATTTTATTCAAAAGGACAGTATTTTTCTAAGTATGAGGATTTTATGACTTTGATGAAATTTTTATAACGAGTTATTTTAATAAAAATGGTTTCCGAAAATGATGGTTTAAAAGCATGTTTAAGAAATGAAAGTGAATCCGGATTTAAAATAAAGTAACGGGGTGTTACAATATCAAAAACGCAGGCACGAATGAAAACATCAACTTTGATTCTCTATTCTATTAAAACTAATGCAATGAAAACACCAACTTTGATTCTCTATTTTATTAAGATTAATGCAATGAAAACATCAACTTTGATTCTTTATTATATCAAGACTAATGCAATTTTGACGATACTCTATGGTCTGGGCTAATCTCAGAGCCACTACTTATTATATTAAGTATCTTTTATATATTATTAAATGAGTATCCGTGCGATGCGTAGATTTTTTCTCATAATATAATTTATTAAAAAGTGTAGTTACAATTTGTTTTATCGTATATTTAAATTTTTTTTAAGGATATTCTGTATTTGAATAAACATATAATATGTATTCACATATTATGTGGATGTTAACTATATATGTGATAAATAGTTTATTGATAAGGAAATGTGAAATATTTTATATTTTGTATATATAGAATATATTAAATAGATATACTGCAAATTAAAGAAGTAATATATAACAAAAAATTAATTAGAGAAACTCTTCAAGCACAACATAAGTAGAGACAGCCATTTTTAACAGATTGTATCTATTCATGGCGCATATTTACACAATAGCAACACCGTCGTTTTATTATTTTTATGAGCTTAAATAATTAATTTATAATTCTAATTTATACAGCTGCATTAAACATTTTATAAATAAATATATCAGGACTTTGATATCTTATGAATTCAAAATTATTAAAGGATCAAGTTTGAAAAAAAAAATTATCATAATTATTAGTTTATAAAGAAATTATTTTAAAGTTTATTATAATATTGTATAAAATTTTTTTCTAACTTTTTTAGGTTCAAAATATCAAATAATTGTTATTTTTATATTTGTATACTTGTTTTTATAATAATAACTTATAATATTAATTAGAAGTAAGAAATTACTCTTAAATAAGAAACATAAAATGATTTTTAAAAAACTACCACAAAATAGATACTCAATAATTATTTTTGGATATTAAGTATATATTATTATTAAAATATATTTTTTAATACTTCATATTTTTCATATTCTTTTAGTATTATGATTAATAATATATTAAATTTATGTATTAACTGTATTTTATATAATTTGTATCATTAAATTTTAATAAAGGACACATGTCATTTTCACAATAAACCAAAATGATGAGATGGCACTCATATGGAGAGAGTTGGCCATCTTTTATAGTATAGAATTGAGAATGTAGTTTAATAAAAAATAAAGTTTTGTTTTGATTTGTTTGGTTAGTATGTATAGTTTGTATAAATAAATGTGATATGGAAATGATGATGTAATTGTGACATGTCAATTTTAAAAACATGTGGTTTGTGACATAATATTATTTAATATATTAATAAAATTAGATGTTACATTTTGATACAAAATTTAAGTAATCAAGTTTTTGGCCAAATAAATTAGAAAATAAGATTTTTGTCAAATAAATTTTAAATCATATTTTCGATGCAAATTTTTTGTCGGGGATTCACGGATTTCAATTATTAAGCGGAAAATTTGTGGCAACCTATTTTACCAAAAATAATTTATATCATATTTTTGACAAAAAAAATTATGTATTCACAATTTTGGTGAAAAAAATTCATGAAATAAAATTAAAATACTATAATATAAATATTTTGGTGGGAAAGTTAAAAATTCATATTTTCAGTGGAAACTTTTTTGGAATCGGTTTTTCATAGATTTTTTTTGAAATTATATATTTTAAGTATATTTTTGGCTGAAGATTTGCGGTTTCACTTATTTGAAGAAAAATTCATGATATCAAAATTTTAGAATCACATTTTCAATGTAATTTTTTTGGCAAAAATTCTTTTGTGGATTTACTAATTGGCGGAAAATTCACAAAAAAAATTGGAATCATATATTTTTAATGTAATTGTTTTAGTGGAAAAGTTTACTGATTCATGTATTTGGCAGAAAATTAGAGGAATCATGTTTCTGACAGAAAGTTTTTAGAATATTAGTCTTTTGATGAAATATTTACAAGTTTAAATTTTTTGTGTAAAATTTGCTGAATCAGATTTTTGAAAGAAGAATTTTTTTAACTTTTATTATCATCTCATCTTATGTCATTATAAACAAAGAAGACATTTGTGTAAAATTTGCTGAATGTATTCAAATTATATATAGTGAATTAAGAACCAGAACTGGGATGAAATGTAAAGAAACGAGAAAATAGTACAATAAAATGAAAAATATGAATAAAAAGTAGAAGACGAATAATAAAGAAGAATTATTTTTTTCATTTTATGTTTTTGTAAAAGTATTTTATGTTTTGTGTATATGTTATTTTTTTGGTTCATACAATTTTTCAAATTTATTAAAAGATTTTTTCACAAACTATTTTTAAAAAAATAGATTATTAAACCAATCAATCAATTTTTTATTATAAATAATATATATTTTTATTAACTAATTTTTATCAAAATTCTCATGCTCATATATATGTGCGGGTCAACCACTTAATATATATTTATATCAAAATAACAAACTAAAAACCCAAATTTTGATTTTTGTATTTTTGCATTGAAACTTTTATTAAATTTGATTCAAATAGCATTACCATAAAACCTAATTAACGTTGAATAAAATTTATGTTTTACTGCAATTAAAAGATTAGTAAATTGAATAAGCTACTAGTAGAATTTGACTCAATAGACTTCACATATTAAACTGGTCAACCCCATGTGATACAAGGACTTGACATGTGTCTTGGGATTTTTGAGAAGTTTTTTTGAAGATGTCATATTGTCTTGCATAATTGTGCAAACGTAGCGACGCAAAAAAAAAGAAGCTAAAACTTAAACCAAATATTCAACAAAATATCTTTCCATTTTAGTCACACACAAAAATAAAATAAAAATATCTTCCAGTAATTAAAGAGCAAAGACAATTTCAGTTACTAAACTAACGAACAATGACTTCACAGGCACTAGAGCATCTTGGCATTGCAACGAGTTCTGTAAGGAAGGCAAATTTTGCCTTTACCGTATAGTGAAGATCAAGCTTTAGTTTCTCCAGGCTTGTTGAGTTCTTCAGGAAGTATCTTATTAGCTCCATCTCTCCATCATACCCTGAGATGGAACGTTTCATTTCCACAAATCTGAGCGATGATACCAAACACCGAGGCACTGTTGCAAATCACCTTTGGTTCTATTTTCTTCTTATGACGAATGAAACGCTCCTCAACCAATTCCTGCAAAAACAAAAACAAAAACAGTAGAAAACAAGTTTGAGTATAGAGAGAGAGAGAGAGAGAGATGCGAAAAAGCTCTTCACAAACAATATGTGTAATTCAGAAGAGAGTTAAAGCCATTCGTCACTACCAAGATGAGAGATTTTAGTTCAGGACAGCTCTCGAGTAGTGTTGGCAACATTTGTAGTTGAGATTTACAAAATCTTGCACTCAGACGAGATAAGTGACAAAACGGTCTTGATTTCGAGTATAGACACATGAGCTGAAAACATAATTTAGAAAGAATGTTTGGTTAGAAACTTTTTTCGTTGAAGAATCATCAAAAATGCTAAAATATAGATATGTATATACCTTCCACATTTCACTACTAATAGCAAGATCCCCGACCCTCTTAATATCAGTGAGGATATCTTCGACCATGCTCTTAGTGTGTACGCCACCGCTATTAACAGCATCAAGCTGTAGCTTGAGAGGGAGACCCGAGTTTATGATAGTATAGTTCTTAGTTGCGGAAACACTAGTCCTCAGAAACTGGAGTAGAGGAGCATCAATCACAACAGATATGTTGATTCTCTTTAGAGTCTGAGAGCGCACAGGTAAAACCACTTCACCATCATGCCAATATCTGAAGATGGTCAAGTCTTCAAGAACCGGAGAGCCTGAGATAAGTTTGTCCAGAGTGGCCTCACTGAGATAGCCAATACTTTCTAAATGCAAGATCTTTAGGCAAGGCAAGGAAACAGACTCGGGGTTGAGCCGGGACAAACAACTGAGCCGTAAGTGAACCAGCGTCTTGCAGGTATATATGCTCTGGGGTATCACGATATTGCCATTAAAGATAATAAGATCGAGATGCTGAATACTACGCCTCGTCGAAACATCAATCCATGAGCTGAGATTTGAGATAGCATCAGGATCTCCTTCGGTAAAACTTAACCGTGCTTTGCGTATCCATGAGTCCTTGTGTAAATCAAAGAACCTGTCAGCGAAACTCACAAAGCCATCGACATTCGAGAATTCTTGGGAGTCTAAGTCGAATCCAGGAACACATTGCCAGAGATTTCTCCATCTGGTGGATAACACGCTTGTTTTTACAGCATCCTTTGTGGGGAGGTGAGTAAGTATCTCAGACATCAATGCATCAGGTAACTTGCTTATCAAGTCTTCCGGTGACCCTTTGGTTTTTTTCTTTCGACCCACCATTTTTTTTTCTCTTCTTTCACACAAATAATCTGCATCATCAAGTTCAAGAAAAATGTATGTTGTAAATTACAGAAACAACCATCGAATTTTCAATGAAATATACGAAGTGCGGACACAAAACCAAGTCAAAAATTCTCATACAGTTCCAGCGCAAACAAAATTTCAAGCTAAAAATCACTGAGAGAGATAGAGAGAAGAACTTAAAATTACATGCGAAGCTTTATTAGGTTAAGGTTTTTTCAAGGTTTCTGAAGATGAGTAATATCAATTAACGGTAGAAGAAGAAGAAGAAGAAGAAGAATGTTAAGCAAAAACCCAATCAACGAATAGTAGCAGGATCCGTACCGATGTTCCTAAAACACGAGTATGGTGTTCACCAGTCGAGAATCCACCGGGGAAGAAGGGAAACTCCGACGTCGATGAAACAGTTTGTTACACGGGAAGAGAGATAAGAGCAAGAAGACTTTCCATTAAATTGTTTTCCATTATTTTCTTTGTTTTCTTCGTACAACTTATATATCTGGTTTGTAAACAAGTAAATGTAATTAAGACCCATTTAAGTCCCTAAGGCCCGATTCCTGTAACAAAGAAGAAGAAGAAGGCACTGGAATGTAATTACTTGCCGGAACTGTAGAGTGTGATGTCGCCGGCGGGAATCGGGAATCAATCGCCGGAACGGTGTGTGCATCTCTCGCTCAAGACTCTAGAATGTGGTTGTGGAAAGAGTCCCATAAAATGTGTTGGGTTACACAAAAGCCCAACAATCAGCAACTCAATTTTGGCTAAAGTTGATTTATATATGGTCCGTAATTATAGTATGTCAATAAAGAACATACTTGTAATCAAAAATCAAATATGAATACTCAATCCAACTTAAATAATCTGTTTTACAGAGAATTATATCAAGAAACACAAGAAAGAGTTTACAATGCCATTGATTGTGGTTAAGAAGCCTAAAATAACCTTAAATGTTTAGTTGCACTAACACTGTCCTTTACTAATTTAAGAAGAACAACTTCACATGCACTAGAGTCTAGAGAGCATCTAGCCATCTAGGTATAACAAGGGGTTATTGGATTCTTGAATTCTTCAAGAAGTATTTTGCTAGCTTTGTTTCTCCCATCATATATCCTAAAATCGGATTTTTAACTCAAGAAACTTAAGTGATGATATCAAACACGGAGACACAAATGAAAACATCAACGTTGATTCTCTATTCTATTCAGACTAATGCAATGAAAACATCAACTTTGATTCTCTATTCTATTAAGACTAATGCAAAAACTAATCTAATAGACTAGTGCAGTAATTTTGACAATACTATGGTCTAGGCTAACCTCAAACCACTAAGACTTCTTATGTTAACTATATATATTTCTATCCATTAACAATCTAAAAACCCAATTTGTTTTTTTTTTTGTATATTTGCATTGAACATACTTTTATTAAATTTGATTCAAATAGCATTACCATAGAACCAAAATTAACATTGAATAAATTTTATATTTACTGTATTAATAAATTGAATAAGTTACTACTGGAATTAATTTGACTCAGTAGACTGCATGACAGTTGACATGTAACCGAATGGTTTTGGATTTTGATTGAAGATTTGTCTTGCATAATAATGCAAACGTAGAGTGAGGTTCTTGAGAATTGTTGATTTCACTAGAAATTATCTTACTAGTATCATACACATACAAATCTGATTTGATTAGACTCCCAAACATTTTTTTATGACTTGGAGACAAATATAATGTCGGTTGATCGATGTTTATGATTGACAAAAGAATAAGAAGATGCAGTTACAAATTCTAGTGCGCTTAGTTTTGGGGAAGAATCCATCAAAATTTGATAACAATAACCGCAAACGAAATGTTCAACAATATACTCTCTATATATAAATTGAGAAGTAGTTTTAGAAAGTAATCTTAATTTTGTAAGTTATTTATAATAATATTATTTTACTGATATTTCATCACCAGAATTATTTTCAGCAAATATATAAAAATAGACTTAAATTTTTAGATTAGTGACATGTTCTATCACTCACACTAACTTGTTTATACAATGGTTTATATCAATTATATGGATGATTCATCAAGATATTCTTTTTTCTATTTTTTACCGAAATTATATCATATAAATTATTTCTTTTAATACTATATTTATCTCTTATTTTTATAGAAAAATAAATCATTACATCATTCATATAGTAAAAGCAAAACAAAAATATATATATATATTTGTGTTATAATTTAAATTTCTTAAAACAAATATAAATTACTCAAATGATTAATAAATAAAAGTATGTTTTCAAAGTATAAAATTATAAAAAAGATGTGTAGCTTAATAGATGATTCATAGATCATTATAAAAAAAAATATAATAAAAAATCAGAAAAAACAGGAAATTTAATTTAATAGATATTGATTTTATAAGTATTTTTGGTTTCATATGGTTTTAGAACCATATAAATTAACAAAATAATATAAAAATTTAAACTTTATAATAAGTAGAAAATATTATATAAATAAGTCTAACTATAAAAAATAGTTAAATATGTTAAATGAATATAATATTATAAATATTTTAATTTGATTGAAATTTTAAATATCATAAATTTATTTATATAAAAAAATTGAATTAAACTTTTTGATATTAAAAATATTTTTATTCGATCAAAAAGTTAAGAGTTTATAATAATTGACTCACTTATATAAAATTTTATATAATTTATTAAAAATATTAAAATTAAAAATATATAATCTATTGTTATATAATCTTTATGTATCTTTAGTATTTAGAATCAATTTTACACTAATTTTGAAAAAAGAATTTATAATTTTGTCATGTATTTTTTATATTCTATAATACATATTATTTTTTATTAGGTGACTTTACACAGATTTCTAATCTACAATGATGTTCTCCAATTCTATTTGATCTTAAAATTCTTGAAATACAATTATTCATATTGAAATAATTATAAATAATGATAAAACAATGTCCTATGATTATTTACATACACCAAACTTATTACTAATACATATTGTATATTATAAATAGACAAACTTCCGATTAACGTCTATTGATAATATTCAAATGGCCGTAAAGACCATTCTATGTTTTTATATACAAATTTATTAGTAAAATACTATTATATTTTAGACAATATTTTTTATTAAATATTTTTTGAAGTCAAAAACTATGATATTTTATTTTACAAAAGAGAATTATTTATATTAATTTATAGTTATAATTATTGATTTCTAAATTAAAAACATAAAAACTGTATATTTCTTTAATTCATGTAAAAATGTTGAATCATGTCGTTAATCATCATGGGTTATATAAAATTTATATAGTGACTTTGTATTTCTACTTAGGTGGCACATATATACCTTTAATTTTAAACTAATTTACATAATACTTAATTATCATATATTTCATAAAATAAACAAAAAATGTATAACTCATATAAAATCAATTGTATTATGTTATATAAATTTAAAATTATACTACAATAAATAAATAATTATTATTTTATCCTGACACACAGGATGCAGATTATTACTCATTAACGAACAATGACTTCACAAGCGCAAGAGCGTCTTGGCATTGCAACGAGTTCTGTAAGGCAAATTTTGCCTTTTGCGTATAGTAAAGATCAAGTTTTAGTTTCTCCAGGATTGTTGAGTTTTTCAGGAAGTATCTTATTAGCTCCATCTCTCCTTCATACCCTGAGATCGAACGTGTCATTTCCACAAACATGAGCGACGATACCAAACACCGAGGCACTGTTGCGAACATCACCTTTGGTTCTATCTTCTTCTTATAACGCTGCTCAAACAATTCCTGCAAAAATAAAAAGAAACAAAACAGTAGAAAACAAGTTTGAATAAAGAGAGAGATACAAAACAAAAAAGCTCTTCACAAACAATATGAGTAATTCAGAAGAGAGTTAAAGCTATTCGTCACTACCAAGATGAGAGATTTTAGTTCAGGACAGCTCTCAAGTATTGTTGGTAACATTTGTAGATCAGATTTATACAAACTTGCACTCAGACGAAATAAGTGTCGAAAATGACACAACGGACTTGATTTCGAGTATACACAGATGGCCTGGTAACATAAGTAAAAGAAAAAAAAAAGAATGTTTGGTTAGAAACTATTTCGTAGAAGAATCTTTAAAATGCTCAAATATATTGATAAGTATTACCTTCCACATATCACAATCAACAACTAGATCCCTGACCCTCTCAACATCGGTGAGGACATCTCCAATTCCGTTGAAGCCATGATACTTGAGAGTATAAATATCTAGTTTTAGAGGGATACCCGAATTGATGATGCTATAGTTCTTACATGTGCAAACCTTAGTCTTCAAAAACTGGAGTAGAGGAGCATCAATAACAACTTTGGTACGCTCAGGTATGATGTCGAGCCTCTTTAGACTCTGAGAGCGCACTTGTAAGATCTGATTCTCACCTTCATGCCAACTTCTGATGATGGTTAAATCTTCCAGGACAGGAGAGCTTGAGATAAGTTTCTCAAAAGTGTTCTCATTGTGATAGTTAATACATACTAAATGCATGATCTTTAGGCAGAGCAAGGAAACAAACTCGGGGTCAGCCAAGACGACCCAAAAGAGCCGTAAGTGAACCAGTGTCTTGCAGGTATATATGTTCTGTGGTATCACATTACCGGGAGAAAAGGCACCAAAATGAAGATCGAGTTGCTGAATCTTACGCCTAGTCATGACATCAATCCATGAGGTGAGATAAGATCTAAGATCAGTATGTCCAGCCAAACTTAACCATACTTTTCGTATCCATGAGTCCTTCTGTGAATCAAAGAACCTGTTAGCAAGACTCAGAAAGTCACTCAGAGTCGAGAAATTTGGGGAGTACTCTAAGTCGAAATCAGGAACACATTGCCAGAGATTTCTCCATTTGGTGGATAACACGCATGTTCTTACAGCATCCTTTGTGGGCAGATGAGTAAGTATCTCAGATATCAATGCATCAGGTAACTTGCTTATCAAGTCTTCTTTCGACCCTTTGCCACAAATTTTGGTTTTTTTCTTTAGGCGCACCATATATTTTCTTCTTTCTTCACAGAAATAATCTGCATCATCAATTTCAAGAATAATGAAAATTGAAGTTACAGAAACAACTGTCGAATTTTCAATGAAATACGAAATACGCACACACAACCAGTGGCTGATGTTGAAACTTTTTTAATCGGGGGCACTCTTTGAAGGGTTGAAATTTTCCATAACAATAGTTGATCAAAATACTTAAGGTTACAAAGGAAAAAAAAAATCAGTAGGGGGCACGTGCCCCTGTACACGCTCACCTGCACACAACCTAAGTCAAAATTAATATTTCAAAATTTCAATAAAACCAGACAAAAGCTAAACATCAATACTCGAAGGAATATGCCTTAAACAGTAGGTTAGGGCTTTTTCAAGGTTAACCTACAGTTTATTAGGAGAGAGAGAAGAACTTAAAATCACATGTGACGCTTTATTAGGTTAGGGTTTTTTCAAGGTTTCTGAGGATGAGTAAAATCAATAAACAGTAGTAGAAAAAGAAGAACGCACCGAAACGTGATCACTTGCCGGAACTGCAGAGTGTGATGTCGCCGACGGGAATTGGAGAAATTAAGCGGCGGAACTGTGTCTGTACATCTTCTCTTGCTGAAGAAGTTACACGAAAGCCCAACAATCGAAGATGGCAACTCAATTTGGGCTAAAAATAAATTGATTTCTATATGGGCCGTAATTGACATGTCGATAAAGAACAACATACATTGGTAAGCAAAAATCAAATATGACACTCAATCCAACTTAATTAGCTGTTTTACAGAGACACACATACATCAAGAAACACAAGAAAGAGTCTATAATGACATTGCTTGTGGTTAAGAATCCTAAAATAACCTTAAATGTTTAGTTGTTCAACACTGTCCTTTACTAGCCAAAGAAGAACAACTTCACATGCACAAGATAGCATCTAGGATTCTGGATATACAATCGAAAACGCAAGTTTTTATATAGAAATTTTGGATGCGTAAGTTTTACGGACACATAGCTTGCAACCAAACATAATCCGGACTAGGGTTTTCAATGCCTTATGAAGATGATTTTAATTGCATTAAAAAAGAAAAGGAAAAAAAGTTCATGGAAATATATAATCCAGAGTGTTTTTGGCCGGTGGAAACATTGTTAAATAAATCTAAAAAGTAAAATATTATTTGTGTTGCCCTGAAGCCCTAACAGTCAATTTGGGGTTGGGTCCATGGTTAGTTGGCTTGGTGCTTGAATATGAGGTCGCTCGGCTAAACCAATCAACAACTACACACTCCTTATGTGAACGTATATTTAGTTTCCGTTTGATTATTTTTTTTTTCTTTTGGAATTTACTAATGTATACGATATTGTTAGAGGGTGGATTTTAGATATTGTATTAAGTATTAGATAGCATCAAATATTTTTGTTAAAATCAGTTTCGATGCGACATTATTATGTTGGAATATATACAAACAATTTTATACGTATTTAGCTGTAAACTTAATATATTTAAATCGGCCGTGTAAAATGCACAAATTTCGTTGACAAAATAAGGTCGATATAATTTGTGATTATCTCAAATTAAAGTCAAGATCACATTGCTGCTTTTGCTAATTCTAATTTTTGATGACTTTTCTACTTTCCAAAAAAAACTAGTAGAATATGTTCGAGACACTTGGCGTGGTGGATGTAATCCTAACGAGGAAAGCAATTTTTCAAAGCAAAAGAGAACAACAAAAGTAACATGGTCCATTCCATGGCCAAACGCGTTAAAATCAAATTAAAAAAAAAAAAAAATTATTGACATTCCTTTCAATGAGAGAAAAAATCAAATAATACGTAGTTCCAATCACAAATTGAAATTCCTTATTCTTCACGATAACATTCGTTAAAAGATAAAGAATCATTCACATTCATTGCTCTCTGTTTTTTTTTCATCATCATCACTAAACTAAAAACGAGAATTAATCAAACTAAGACAATCTCTGAATAGAGAGGTCATAACCAAACCAATCAAACCAATACCAATTACATGTCAAACCAAAACCAAATCAACAAACCGAGTTAAAGATCTTCAGAAACATCGCAGATGGTTGTTGTGGACCTTGTGGTGGTGGCTATGGTTGTGGTGTCCGTTACCGTGACTGTGACGGCGATGAGTCTCCTCGTCGATAATCTCCTGAACATGCTTGAACTCATCGACACGGCAAGGAATCGTAATCGGACCGGAGTGTTTGAATCCGTACTCTTCTTCAGCATCTTTCAAGAGTCCCAAGAACAGAGGATGGCTCAAGAACATCAACGGAACCACGAATCTGTGTAGACCTTCTTCATCTCCTTCGTGTCCCACCATGATCGCAACACATCCTTTCGGAACATTATGATGATGATGGTTATAATGATGGAGTATGTGGAGATGCGGAACATGAAAGTGGAAATTGAACACCATCTGCTTGCTCTGTTTTGGGCTCTGTTTCAGTTCTTGTTCTTCAAAACCCATTAAAAAGAAAGATCGAATCTTTCGTACCGAAAAACCTATCGAGAAACACGACGATTGATTAAAAACGATCGACGACGGAGAAAAGGAAGTGTAGAGCTGAGAGATTTTGAGGTTTTTCGGCGAGGTTGATGTTAGAAGACGGCAATAGAAAAGGGCCAAGGATCGACGGCAGAAGAAATTGTGAGAAGAAATATAGAAAGAGATGAGTCGGTGAGAGATCTGGGGATGTTGCTCATGATAGGCTAAGCATATATATGTTTTATGATTTATGAAGAGGAAAGGGTTTTTTTGGTTTTTTTAGAAGGTTGTGAGGATTTTGGAAAGGGAGATATAAGCGTGTGTATATATATACTGCTGGTGTAGCCTGTAGGGCTTCGCTTCACGCGCACACCGCTAAGGCTTTTTCTTCTTTTTATTATTTTTTCTAAAATCCATTTAATATTTTTTAATCAATTAATGAGCTGGATTTGACGTGGTAAAAAATTGCAGCGTGGGTTAGGAGGGATTAGGGTTTACCGACTAAAAGGAGGCTTGTTAATTACTTTAATATTTTGAATTTGTATTCAGAAAAAAAAAAAACATACCAGTAGTTTTGAACATAAAATTGTTTTCATTTTTAGTATAATGAAAAGAGATAAATCTTGGGAAAAAAAACCTTTTCTCGGATTAGTAGTTTTGTTCTTGATATATTAACGTGATATCAAAAAATTGATATATGGGGTTTTTCGGCGAGGTTTTTTGTAAATATCAGTTTAGAGAAAGAAATTTAATTATCATATCCATCTTAACTAATTATTATTATTTATTTATTGTCAAAGATCTTAACAGATTATTATATTGAGATAATTTATTTTTAGTGAGTAACATTGTTAAAACTGAATGATTTTATAAATCAAATCAATAGAAATTTATGTAAAATTTATATATCTGTTCTTTTGTGATCAAATTAAAACGGGTGTAATTGATTCTTATAACTATATTCGTTTATGTAAATAATTAGGTGAGTACATCTCGGCCTAGTGTGTATACACACACCTAAATACATAATGCTACAAAAACGTTTATCAAATAGCATGACTAACTCTTTTTGGCAATAGAATAATTAAATTACTATAAATATAAAAATAAAAATATTTATATATATGTCAATCATATATGTATATCTTAGTACTATCAATCTATGAAATAAAGAATGTTCTTGTTTTAATCTCTTCTCAACAATTTATTCAAACAATTCAATCATTTTATGTTTTGGTTAATGCAGTTATATGACTTTATAATGTTATAACTATAAAAAATGTACAATAGATTAAAGGGAAGTATATCTCACACAAAATTATATAATTAACCATCAAAGGTTTTCCTTAAGATAGATAGCAATTGTCCAACCTCAACCACAACATTTTTTTTTTATCGTGGTAGCGATAACATTTAGGTGATGATATCGATTTTTACTTAGTTACCTTCTAAGCTAAGATAAATACGCAATAATCAAAATTGGTTGCAGCTTTACTTTGTTCAGTTTGCCCAAGGCCCCCTTTGACACTTCAAAAAGCCAACGACTCGGTGAATCAAATGGATACAAATAATATTTCTTTTTAAAAAATGTATTTTGGGATATTCCTCGAAATTTATAGATAAAAGAATCGGATAGAGGTTGAATAATATGTATATATCAAGTTCATTGCTTCATGTAGTGCCACCGTAAGTCCGTAACTAAAATAAGGTATATATGGATAAACACGATTAATGGTCAAACCTATGCAACCTAATCCGCTAATCGTAGAGATAAATAAATAAAGAATCTGTTCATTTTAGACAATACGATCTATCTAAATTCGTTTCCGTCTTTCCCAGAGGTGCATGGGAAATTACATATCCCGTAATCACATATTTTTTATATATTAATACGTAATCGTTTTGGTATGTTTTTGTATAATATATTTGACTTTATATATGCAATACGTAATCAATTTGTGAAGTCATATGGGATTTACGAAAGCACAAAGCCGTATATAATATTCGAATATATACGTAACGTGTTAGTTGTATGATCCGTTATTTCGTTCCACAATATGCTTAGGCAATATGCCAATATCTAACATCTTTAACGAGTAAGGCTGATATAAAATTAGATTATATAACAAACCTTTGTATAAAAACAGACTACTGGAGTTTCTCGAAGGAAAGTCTCATGTAATTTCGCTTCCATAATTACATTGCCCACTTTAATCACTTATTTATTTAGATTGTACTAATCCTTGCATGCCATGTGTTTCCTATGTAATCATGTTATCAGAATTCAGTGACGTGAAATGATAAAATTGTGGCTTGCTTTTTACTAACCAAAACCAAAAATAAACTTGTGGTTGAGATTTGAGAATGCGAGGTGCAAGGCATTATTCATGGGAACATGCTCGTGAAAAAAATTCAAATTCCATCTCGATGGAAATTTTTTGACGCGCAGTGGTTTAGGATTCTGCCACATCAGCAAACGTGGGTCCAAGATACCCAAAATAAAATTGTTGTCACTTATACACGTCAACTTAACTCGGGATGACGTAAGCGCGTCAGAAAATGATAAACATGTCCTTTTGCCGAGTGAGCGGATGTAACGCCTCCTCAAGTGCCTATAACGGCGCCGATCAATCATATGTCCAGTAACTATGTGACACGTGTTGCTTACTTGGTTTATTTGTGCTAACTTTAGTTTGCTTCTTATCCAGTTCACCTTATTTTATCTTTTCGAAAAAATCGAACCACATTTTTGTTCAATATAAGAATTGGTATGGAAGCAATATACAGTATATCACGGTTTGAGTTTTGTTATATTGCAGTGAGAGAATTTCAAGTTAAGCAAGCCAAAATTTGAGACCGGGCTTGGTTTGTTCACGTCCGCTCGGTTTAGTTTGGTTTTGTTTCATTATATGTTCTTTTTATAAGAAGGTTCCAAAGTTTGCGGACCAACCATCATGTCGGCACGATATGACAGAAGACCATACGAATGGCTAAGAACCGTTGGATTACCAAGAAAGTTGGAATCATGTGCTCTTTATTACTTTGATCTTCTGTTTTTTCTTTGCCTTTTTTTTTAATTTTCTTCTTATAAAAGCCAACGACGACTTTTTTTCAAAGAGTCCATACATGCCAGAGAATACAGAATAAAAAGCATTTACAAACCAAGTGTCGTTAGATTTAAGGTTATATATAATGACTAGTTTACTCTTAATTATGAGTTGACGTTTGAATAGAATCTAATCAAAATCAAATCGCACTAGCTAGTTAAACTGATAATCAACAAAACCAAACTTGTCTTGGTTAATTTTTCTGTAATGTATATATAAGTTTCTATAGTTATTTGAACATTGTTTTAATTTCAACATAAAACATATTATCACTTGCATTTCTCAGGTACTTTGAACTTAACCAAAAGCATTAAAAAGAACGGAGCCAAACGAAATCAACTCAAACCAAATAAATTATAAATTTATAATTCTAATCTTTTTTTTTTTGGTTGAAGAGTGGGGATTAAATCCCCAGTTTTATTGCAAATTTTGAAAGAGTTTCTTACAAACGAACATTACGAAGAATAGTGAAATCATCTATATTCTCCATTACAATCATCAGAAGATCGTCAGGGGGAGCTTCCAGTAACTTGAGATCCGACGGAGATGAGAAGGCGAGGTTTGCTAACCCATCTGCGAGTCTGTTTGCTTCACGATAGATGTGTGAAATCCGGACTTCTCAGTCCTTCTTGATAAAGCCGTAACACAACTGTGTTAGGAAAGATAATGGGTGTGCTGCATTAACCTCCGAGTTTAGAAGTTCCACCACCACTTTTGAATCTACTTCAATCTCCAATTTTGTGACTTTCTTCTCCTAAGCCAGAAATAGTCTATAGTAAACTCCCCACAGCTCTGCTAAAGGAGCAGAACATATACCAATATTCAGGGAGAAGCCGCCGCACCAGTTGCCATATGCATCTCTCAGGACTCCTCCAGCTGTCGCTGCACTCGGATTGCCCCTCGATGCCCCGTCTGTGTTGAGTTTCATCCACCCCGTAAGTGGAGGTATCCATGCAATTAATCTCTCCACACGAGCAGTCCTCGAGTTGTTACCACGGATTTTCAAGTGAGCTTCAAAAACCTCTCTAGCAAGATCCTTAATGAACCGTACACGATCTCGGCACTTGCCATTCAACCCAAACACGTTACCGCACCGCCACTTCCAAGCCCACCAGAGGGCAACTGCGAAAGTAGTTGACCACGGGCAACCAAAGTTTTCCGACTGATCCCCCAAATTCCGAAAGCACCATTCAATTAAAGACTCTTCAAAGAATAATCTCCGTTTCTGTAAAGGAACAATTCGATTCCATATACCTTCAATTGCAGGGCAATCTCTCACTATGTGTAAAATGGTTTCGTCTCCTCCCTTGCAAATCTGACATACTCCCGTGTCACTGAGATGTCTTCTCCGCCTTTCCACATTGGTCATGATTAATTGGTTTAGTACTGACCAAAGGAACACTCTGACTCTTTCCGGGGCCACTACAGACCAAACACGATCAAATAAGTTCTTCAAGCACGGTCTCGGGATACTCTGTTTCGTGAGAAATGCATACGCAGACTTCACCGTAAACTCGCCATTCTCGCTATGCCCCCAGCTTATCCTATCCTTAGCTCTTGTAATATTATCCACTACCACAGCCGCAAGCTGAAGCCTGATATGAAGTGACAAAAACCCTGACAACTGAGGGAACAGCCATCCCACTTCATCTTTCCAATAATCACGAACAAGCGAACTCTCTATCAGGGTTGGGACCTCTGTTTCTGACATATCCCTTAGAGGTGTGCTGAATAACCAACGGTCCTGCCAGAAGCGGATCCTGCAGCCATCTCCAAGAATCCAAGTCATGCCTGGTAGTACAACAGCTTTCATTCCTGACATCACACTACACCATGTTAGTGACCATATGCCTTTTCTGCTAGTCCACGAGAGGT